GAGGAGGAGGAGGAGGAGGAGGAGGAGGAGGAGCCTAGCAATGTAAAAGTTACAGTCTGCTGGAGTGTGACAGTAGCTGTTTTAGGGATTAATAATCCTTACCAACTCAGCAGTGGTTTCTCTAATCAAACCATTATAGTCTTCTAAAGATTCAGTTTGTTCTCCTTTCTGTTATGGATGAATGTGGGATAATATCTCCGTATTTTTCAAGGAGCTGAATTAACCTTTTTTACTTGCTTTCAGGGCGCTTTCCATGCAAGTCACACATCGACACCATACACCAGTGGGCTTTCAGCAGCTTCCTTCTCTGACTACCCCAGGCACAAACCATTCATTAATGCTGACCTACGCCGATCCCCCGCCAAGCCGGTAATTGCCTATCCAGAGAGTAACAGCAAAGGTAATATTTCTCCCCAGAGGAAATGGGGCTGTCGGGAATAGTTTTTACTTTATATGTAATCCCGTTCCAAACAATAAATCTTCTTGAAAATGGTATTATCTTTCTAGGCCTTGATGTGCACTTCCCTTCTTAAAAACTACGATATGAAATTTGAAGAAAGCTATGTGTTGTTTTATGAGACAGATTAATAAAAATTGAGGGTGTTTAGGAAATGCGTACATCAATTTCGCAGGCACAGAACGGCAGCTTAGTTGTGTTTATCCTCCAGAGGAATAGGCACTGCTGGTTCCCTTCCCTGACTGCCCTCCTGGCCTCAAATTTGCTTTCTTGATATTTCCTTCCCAACTCCAAGTAACTCCAGAATTCCTGAGCCTTTGATTGGATGTAATCAGAAAATACAGTTAACCCTGTCTCTTCATTCAGCCTGCAACCTCCATCTCAGGACTGTCTTTGCATGACAGGCTGCATGGCTTAAGCATCTGGCAATAAAATTGTAGATCTGATATTACTGGTCATCTCAGGCTTAGATTATTGCAATTTATAATACATGGGACTGTCCTTGGAGGAAGTTCTGAAGCCTTAGAGTTTAGAATGCAGCTTCTTGCCTACTGACTATTACCATTATTAATAACAGAATAATGCCAATCTTCTTGCAGCTGTTCTGGTTTTCAGTAGACTGAATTCAGGATGTCAATTCAGGATGTCGATTATGACCTATAAAGCCCTTTGGGGCCTTGTTAGAATTATAGAATTGGAAAGGACCGTGAAGGTCTTCTAGTCCATCACAGTTCTCATCCCATTCTGAACAAATGGTTGTTCAGTCTTTTCTTGAAAACCTTCAGTGATGGAGCACCCACAACTTCAAAAGGTAGATTGTTCCATTGCTTAACACAGACATGTTAAACACAAGGCCCGGGGGCCGGATGTGGCCCGCGAAGTGGTTTCATGTGGCCCGCGAAGCCATCCTGGAAACAGTGAGGGAACGGCCCCCGCTGCCTTGGCCCTGGCCCAGGCCAGCCGGGAGCCAATGTACAATTTTGTGGTGGCCATCTTGGCACTTTCCCCGGTGGACCATGCCTTGGCACTTGCCCCGGTCCCACCCCCTTCTGCCAGAGACCCTCAGATCTGTCCCACTCCTGCCCAGGCCCCAATAGGCACCCTTGACGCAAATGATGTAGAACTGGCCACGCCCACCCAGTAGGCCACACCCACTCCATCCACGCCCACCCAGTAGGCTGCACCCACCCTGGCTACACCCGCCCGGCCCCCCAAGGGCAACCGCAATGCTGATGTGACCCTCAGTGAAATTGAGTTTGACACCCCTGGCTTAACAGTTTGGGGACTAACTTGGGTAGAGTGTCTCCATCCACTCCAAGAGGGCTGGCCGAGAATCCTTCCCCTGAGAAAAGTCAGAGAGGGAACTAGGAAACAGCCTTTCTTGGTAGAAACCCTCTCACATTGAACAGTTTTCCTCCAGAGATGCAGACGACTCCTTTCCAAAGGACACCAAGACCCATCTCAGTGAACCTGTGGGACAGAGGGTGTAATTTAGGTTGGAAGCAGTCAAATTTGAGAGGAATTATTTGGATGGTTTTCATTTGATGGTGACCTGCCTAGCGTCCTAGGAGAAAGCAGCATATCAGTTACTGTAAATAGTGAATGAATTAATCTGTCCTAATTTTTGCATTCTGTGTTGTTGCCTTTTTCCTAATCTCTGTTTGTTTTTTATAACATCTGGTCTGATGGAGATGCATTGCATTTTGATTTGGTCCTAGTAAAGGTATTGTCAAACTCTGGTGGTTAATTTTTTTTCCTCCTGTACACTAAAGTGAGTGTGATTTCTGCTTATTAGTGGACTACCTGTGTGGGTATATATTGTTTTTGCACTGTTCTGTCATTACATTTTATAAAGGCCTTAATGTACTTTTGTTCAGTTAGAGGGACATAAATGAATAAATGGTATTCAATGGAACAAAATCCCACCTGGTCAAAATATTTTCTTTTTTTTCATGCCTAATTTTGTAGCAACTCTGCAGTTTATACCTTAAAGCTGAGAAAACTCTGACATTAGGTTTAGATAAGAAAACAGTATTTACAGTATTCTGAAATAAAAATAAAGAATCTAGCACTGTTAATCTGAGATACGCTAGCTTGCCTGGCAGAGCATTGTAAATCAGTGGATAGTCTCTTCACATCCACAGAGGAAGAAAAGGAATAATCCCTGAAAAATTTTTTGGGGGACACCTGTAATGTTCTGAGATCTTTTTAATACATTCTGTATTTTATAGTATCAGTTATGCAGAAAGAAATAAGTGCTACTGCTTTCTCTTCCCTCAACAATCTTGATTAATATCGTATGCCCCAGCTGCCCTTTTGTCATAAAACCTATAATTTATCTTCCCTCTTCAACCTGTTTTGATGGTTTACATTTCATATAGATGAGTTTCCTGGTCCCTAATGAATTAAGGCAAATGTTCTACCAGTTATCATTTGTGTTGGAATCTAGTGGGAGGATCGTATTTCTCTCTTTCCCTATTTTGAGTGTGTCCCTTGTGGATCCCAAGTTCCAGGAAGCTGCATGGATTTTCATCACCCTATACCCATTTGATCAGATGTGGCCTATTCATGAAGCAGAGCAGCCTTTGAAATTATAGGTTCCTTACCTGGAAGCACTTGGGAATCTTTGAGCTACATGAATACCCCAGGACATTAATTACCTTTCCTTTTGGAGTGGCTGCTGATAACCTAATTAAAATAGGATTATGCAAGTAAGGTTCTCTCTGTTGGTTGCTGTAGAGAAAAAGAGCTCCTGCTAATTATCATTGACAACTACTTCCGTGCAGCACTGCCAGCATGAAGAACTGAAGTCATACTTTTGTTTACAGCTCTCTCTGTTCCTCTTTAATTGCAGAGGCTCAGTTGCTCAAACATTAGAGCTGGCAATCTTTGTTAACGTTGTTATATTAGAAAGTGTGCAACTTTGTTCAGGCCGAGAGCTGAAAAGCGAGCAAGAGTAGGACAAAAGCTGAACTGGAGAAAAATGCAGTATGTGGAATTACATTAAACTGATGAATTACCTAATATGCTCTTCAAGTGTTTAATACTTCGTTCGTCCTGTAAAACCTGAATGGTTTTTAATCATTTTTCTAATGGTCCTTGTGAAATAAGTGAGACAGAGAAAAATGTGCTTTATCCTAGGCCAGTGTTTTTTTTACTCTTAAGATGTGTGGATTTCGACTCTCAGAATTCCCCAGCCACTACTTTTGATACTGAGATAGCTGAACTGTCATTGACTTTTAATTTTTGCACCCATAAGTCCCTCGTCTTCACCTGTATTCTATCCGCTTGCTAACTGATGGATCTAATTTCATTTATCTACCAGCCATATTTTCAGCTCTGAAGAACCTGCAGGAGAAAATACGTCGGTTGGAGCTAGAAAGGATTCAAGCAGAAGAGAATGTGAAAAGCCTGACCAGGGAGACCTCAGATTATAAAAAAGTTCTAAGTGAGCAGTTGCAGGAAAAAGAACAGTCGAAGTTGCAAGTGTTCAAGAAAAATGATGGTATACATATATATATATATATATCTTCTTTGCTTGTCCTCATTAAGAATGTTACATGTATGAGGACAGATATTAAAGGAGGCAGAGGCGTTTCCAGAAGTCATTTGCTGCATCTCTCCCAATTTTGGTTGCAGTTGGCATGCATAACAACCCTGTTATACTGTTATTGCTAGGTTGAATGCTTTTATATAATCAGGCACACTGTAGCCAAGTAGGATCCGTCCATGGGACGGGATACGAAGATGTTCTGCGTACATGTGCTGTACATAGACACCCTTTGCATAGTGGTTGAACTTGTGGCTTGCATGTAGAAATGAATGGCTGTGTGTGTGTGTTCATAAGCATCTCTATTTGAAAAAACATGTTGAGTTAGGTAAAGTTTATATTTTGAATAATATTGCATTTGTTAAGAATACTTGTGGATTGCAAGTAGCTCAGTGCAATATTTGCAACCTATAGTCAAAGGATCTCTGATGATATCGGATGCGGGCAACAAATAAGAATACGAAGATCTATGGTTGGTCGGTTCTTTGGGCCATAAAGTCATGTTCACACATATCAGGGAGGCACAATGGGGCCTGATTGTTGCCTGACATTAATTGCTCCCTGTCTTAGAAGTAGAAGGAGGGAGGAAGCAGCATTCAGAGAAGTTGTTTAAATGGTAAGTAGTTGCTTTAAGTTGGATAGAAACTTAACACTCACCCCAAAATAGGATCAGTATCCCTGATTTGGGAGCAGTTGGAGGCTTAAAGGGTATAAGGCATAATACCTATTTTGCCTTTAAAACTTTAGAAAAAGCATTAAATGTTTTGGCCCTAAATACTTTGGGAAGGGCCTGATTTCTTCCAACTGCATTCATCAAGGAAATTCCACAGAAAGGGTCAAATTACCTTTCAGCATAACTACTATTATGTTTTTTTTAATTGACAAATATCTAAGAATCCCTGGAAAAACATTGAGAATTACTGTGATGAAAATAACTGCAGTTCAGGAAAGCTGCAGTTAGAATTGAGTGTTCTCTGATTGTTTAGCCATCGCACCTTCTGGGACTAGAATATGTAGTCCAGTTCCAAAAGCAGCCTAGTTAACCATGATACTCAGTTGTGTCATGCTTGCTGAAGAACTGGCAGACTTCTCCATCAGGTTGCCATTAATCAGCCTTTGGCCAAGGCAAATATGTGATCAGGTTCAACAGCGCTGTGATCTCTATCCTTCTGTTCCACACTGAGATGCATTTGTGGCTGGTCCGAGCACCTCGGGCAGTAGATGCAAAGTAGCATAGGTCTGCTGGATACATATTTTTTTATTTTTGACACATCATTGGATGTTCAAGTTGGATATTTCTCCAATTTTCCCACATACTGGTTTCAAAGAGCCAGTTCTGAACTTAAATGCAGCCATTGGGACAGTCTCGTCAAAACCCATTCAGTGTTGGTTCTGGAACATGAACCTTCTTGTCCCTTTGTTTGAAAATAGTAACTTTAAAACAGGGGACTTCAAACTTGGCCCTTTTATGACTTCAACTCCCAGAATTCCTCAGCCAGGCACGCTGGCTCAAGAATTCTGGGAGTTGAAGTCCACAAGTCATAAAAGGGCCAAGTTTGAAGACTCCTGCTTTAAAGAGATGATTTGCAGCAACCAATCGGCCTGGTTCATGTTAGTTTTCTTTTGCTGCTCTGCCTCCAGAGTTGGCAACACAACTGACAGCAGCCGAGACTCGCTGTGTACTTCTGGAGAAACAGCTGGAATACATGAAGGAAATGATAGCACAGGCAGAACTTGAAAAGACGACCGTCTTGGAGAAACAGGTACATGGGCCTTTTTAATTCTAGTGATTGAGTTTGTGTTTGGTCTAGTAGTGAAGGCACCAGGCTAGAAACTGGGAGAATGGGAGTTGTGGTCCTGCTAGGCATGAAAGCTGGTTGGGTGATTTTGGCCAAGTCATTCTCAGCTCAACCCATTTCACAGGGTTGCTGTGAGGAAAATAGAGGGAAGAAGGAGTATTAAGAGTATTAGCTGTGTTTGCCACCTTGAGTTGTTTATAAAAAAAAAGGAATAAAATAAATAAATAAAATATCAAGGTAGTCCTGATCTATAGATTCCAGAAAAGTTGCCAGTAGCCATAGCATCTTTTAAAACTTCCTGGTTTACAGAATTTGCTGTTACAGTATTGGTCAAAATCATCGTTTAGCTGATTTTAAAGGGACTACGAGAGTGAGTAGGGTAGGATGCTCGTGGTTATTGGTCATGATAGCTATAAATTTACCTCCAAATTCAGAGAAAATTAACTCAAATGCTAGCTTTAGGGATCAGCAACTTTCATACAGCTGCTGAGTTCAGTAGACCAGCATTTCCCAATATAGACAGACATCCTCCAAATCTGTGTGTTTTAATTTTCAAGATTAGCCATGACAGCTGGGAAAGGTTGGGAATTGAACCTGTAGGGTTGAAAGATATTCTTGGTAATCAGGATGAAGATTGAAGGAAACTAAAAAAAAAATGACAAGGGAATCTGGTAGACATTGTGTTTTGTACCCCTGGAGCATAGTATTACTCAGACTATCATGTAGCACTGCAGACTGCTGAAAGACTATCCTAGGATTATCTTCTTCACACAATATCTGTTTTCCTGCTTACAGTCTAAAGCTGTATAGTCTAGGAACCACTTTACTACTAGTTTGGTAATGGCCAAAGATAGTCCCCAGACTAAAATGTCAGTGTTTAGCCGTAGAATAAAATTTTGAAGCTGGGCTCTTGGAAACATTTTACCTATGTTGAAGAATTTTTAAAATGGCTCTTTTCAGAGAAATACAACTAACAAATGTGGTTTATTTTTGTTGTGAACTTTTCTCTCCTCTTGTGACATCAAGTGGCAGAATACAATTTAACGGGGCTGGCTCTTTCTTCTCCACGACACAAAGTGTTTTAATAATAATAATAAAGTTGGAAGGGACCTTGGAGGTCATCTGGTCCAACCCTCTGCTCAGGCAGGAAACCCTATACCATTTCGGACAAATGGCCGTCCAGTCTCTTCTTAAAAACTTCCAGTGTTGGAGAATTCACTGCTTCTGGAGGCAGGTTGTTCCACTGGTTAATTGTTCTAACTGTCAGGAAGTTTCTCTTTAGTTCTAGGTTGCTTCTCTCCTTGATTAGTTACCATCCGTTGCTTCTTGTCCTGCCTTCGGGCGCCTTGGAGAATAGCTTGACTCCCTCTTCTTTGTGGCAGCCCCTGAGATATTGGATCACTGCTATCATGTCCCCCCTCGTCCTTCATTAAACTAGACATACCCAATTCCAGCAGCCGTTCCTTATATGCTTTATTTTATATTATATTTATATTTTATTATTTATATATTTATATTCCTTTTTTTCCAGGCCACATTGGAAAAAGAGAGAAATGTCGATCACTCCCACGTGAAGTCCAAGTTCGAAAGGTTGGATCTGCTTGAGAAGGAATACACACGGCTTACATCAATGCAGTCCCTTGCAGAGGTGAGACCTGGAGTTGTGCTCATTGTGGATTGCAAGATCCGTACTAATGTAATCTTCAACCTTTTATCAAACGTTCAGTTTTGGTAATGAAATTCTGTATATCGGCCTTCTCAACCTAGGCACCTTCAAGATGTACTGAGTAACTTAGATTTCTCCATCTTGCAATTTGAGAGTTTACAACTATACATATCATGACAGTTCTATAGGCTTCAAAACAAAGACTAAAAACTAATACAAACTAAGAAAAACATAAAGGAAAAAAAGTGCAGAGAAAAGTAAAAAATAAAAATATTTAAAGAAATAACTTTCCCCTTCATCAAAGACAAGTACAAACCACGTCAGTAATTTATCTCTTTCTCTAACATTTTAACAAAATATCTTTTCTTCCCATATCTCATCTCTTATCTACAAACAAATTATTAATGTAAGAACCCGGAGGATTGTGGGGGGGGGGAACAGCCCCAAGGCTTGCAGGGTCCCTAAAAGGTGTGGAAAAGCAGAGCATGGGGTATCCTGGAGGTGAGGGCTTGAGAAGCCCAGGTCAGGCAGGCCTGGGCCTGTACTAGGCCTCTCTCATCTCTGAGGCACCCCGTCCTCCACTTAACAACCCGCATAGTTGCTTAAATGCATCGGGAAGAGCAGGGATGGAGGGTTCGTTAAGAGAGGCAATCACATGGCTGCCTCGCTTAATGACTGCCATGACTTGCAACCATAATGGGCAGGTTTCATTACAGTCATGAGTCAAGGACTACCTGTTCTACTTTTCTTAAAGGGGTCAGACTATGATTTGAATTGGTCACATGGCATCCCATCCAGGGCGGCATAGTAGCAGTAACATTTTGCCTGTGATTGTCCTGCTTTAATGTTTTTATAAACAGAAAAAAATGAAAGAATTGGAAGAGAAGCTCCAGGAGGAAGAACGTGCGAGGAAGCTGGTGCAGGAAAAAGCTGCTGAGGTAAATCCTGTTCACCTGGGCTGCTGTCTGCCAGTGAGATACTCCTTCCTTTGCTGAGGAAGTGATCATGGGGAACTGGGAAGGTTATTCATTGCTTCAGCAACGATCACAAAATTATCCACTTTACACAACCTTTAAGTGTCTGATCTATCAGGCCAGCAGGTAGGATCAAGACCCCAGATGCTTTGTTTGGAAAACAGCAAACCGTATCGTGTTGAATTTGTTTATTTATTTAATGTGTTTATTTATTGAATTTTTATATTGCCCATTCACACTTGTATGACTCTGGGGAGTTCACAGAGAAAACGGTAGCATATAAAAGATAGTTAAAGCAAAGTTAAAAACAGAATTAAAACAGGGTTCATAGGAACAGTTGCAAAGTTAAAAGGCAGAGAGATTTAACCATGCAATTCCTTCATAATTTGGGTCATAAAACAGTTGTTCACTAGTTAGATTCTAGGTGAATTATTTGTTCTGCTAAACCTAAACTACAAAAGTTTGGGGGGAAAGGTAGAGTTCCTACAGTTTTTACTCCGCTAGTCATTGTCAACCAAAGGGGACGATGCTCATCTCCATTTCAAGTCCGTTGAGCCAGTATCGTTTAAAGACATTTCCGTGATCATGTGGCCAGCATGATGTCATGGAGTGCTGTTAATCTCTCACAGAAGTGGTACCTATGTATCTACTTGCATTTGCATGCTTTTGAACTGCTAGGTTGGCAGAAGCTGGTGCGAAGAAGGGAGCTCACCCTGTTGCGTGACACTTAAGTCTTGAACCCGGGCTGCCGGCTTTCCAGCCAACAAGCCTAGTGTCTTAACCACTGACCATGCCATCCTATTAAGCTAGAAACATAGTATATATATATTTTTCAGAAGTCTTAGCCAATCCAATTGCTCCCAAATTTCTGCTACCATCTGGGAAAATCAAAACCAAATGGTAACAAAATAGAGCAGTGTTTCTCAACCTTGACCATTTTAAGGCATGTGGACTTCAACTCCCAGAATTCCACAGCCAACAATGCTGGCTGTGGAATTCTGGGAATTGAAGTCCACATGCCTTAAAATGGTCAAGGTTGAGAAACACTGAAATAAAGAAATACCAACCCTCCAATGAACTAAAAAGCAACAGGAAAGGGGAATTGGGATGTGTTAACTTTTCTCTTTTCTGCAGTATACCTTCCTTCCCTCTTGCTCAGCTAAGGTCCCAAATGCCTGATGGGGAGTAAAATCACTCTGGACTTCAACTTCTATAGAATCCCACTTTTAGGGATCCAAGTTGACAAGCCAAGGAAGGGCTAGCTTCTGGAATGGTTCATCACCAAGTGTCAGGTTCTGTTATTGTGATAAAATAAAATAATTCCCAGGCTTACCTTGGCAGCTTCAGACAGGATTGGAGACCAATAGAAGGTTGCTTCAGGCCCAGACCCAGCCAGCACCAGTCTTGATGCCTTCAAAGCCCAAAAAGATGAAAAAAAAATCAAAGCAGTTGGACAAGGTAGGTAGAGGCTACCTTCTTGCACTCTTATAAATAGTTGCTTGGGATCTTAGTTAGTGAAGTCAGTAGGATTGAATTCTTGGTAACAGTCTTGTTAGATTCATGAAACACGGTAGTACTATTACTGATTGGGCATTAATGAATTGTATATAAATGTACTTGAGTTTAGAAGCAAAAGGGACAAATAAGTCATGATTACTTTAGTCCCATTGCTATTAAATTCCAAGTTTCCATCCCTGAAAAAGTACTGTTCTGAGAGGATTACCCGACACGCTTCATTCACTAGTAGTCTTTGGATCAAGGACTTGGTCAACTAATGGCATGTTCCACTGATCTGATGTGAAGAAGGTCATGTGTGAAATACTGGGGCCCGAAAGTAATGTGGAGCTTTAAAGGTCAAACCCAACATATTCAGTGAAGTTTCAAAAGAGATACAACCTGGCTTGTCGATAGCTCTGATAATTAAACAGAGCTTCCGTAGTAAGACCTTTTAGCAAGGAAACAATGATTGGAGCATCAGTCTTGCATCCTTCTTTTGAACTTCTGAAAGAACCTGCCCTGTAGCTGCTGGAAACTGAATTCTGAAATAGTTTGGTATCATTTAGTGAGGGCATTTTTGCACTCTTAAGTTCTGTGACAGACATTTTACAAGTATGATTATATGTAACCTGAACCCTTGTCAACAGGGTGGCCAGCCTCACATTTTTGCTCAAGAGCAAATTGATTCTCAAAAGGTTTCTAGAAAGATATCATTGAGATTATCCAGCCCGTTAAGCAAACTATCATAAAGTTTCCTTAACAAGTCTTTCACTGGGTAACCAAATGCAGGGATCTGTATGGCTTCATTAATTTCTTTTGTTCAGGAACGAATTGGCCAGGAATTCCCTGAATTAGACTTGACAAGTCTTGTTTTATGTAATGAATTCTGACTCTTTGGGAATAGCTCCTTGCCTTAGCTGGATGTAATTCTTCCAATAGACACAAACGTCGCCGTGGATTTTTTTTCCCAACTCTCATTATAGGAAACATTTCTTTTAAAACAAACACTAAAAAAAGTCCTCTTGTTTCACAAAGTTCTTCAGAAGCATAAACACTGGCTTATGCTATGTTACTGGTTTGCTCTCAAGGCTTTAATACAGGGGTCTTCAAACTTGGCCCTTTTATGACTTGTGGACTTCAACTCCCAGAATTCCTCAGCCAGGCACGCTGGCTGAGGGATTCTGGGAGTTGAAGTCCACAAGTCATAAAAGGGCCAAGTTTGAAGACCCCTGCTTTAATACAAGTGTCAGAGACCTGAATGATCTCATTTAATTACCACCTGTGTAAATTTCATTTGAGCAGAATTGGATCTGGCATAATTCCTTCTCTTTAAAAAGCTTGTTCTCTCTTCCTTAGGCTGGCTCAGGCATGACCCACTTCCACTCCCAGCCCCACTACAGGCTACGACTGGGCGATGTGCCGTTTGTTGCAGGGAAGGTAACGAAGCATTATTTTCAGAGCCTGGATCGCCTGGTGCTGTTACAGCAAACGGTGGGAAAGCGCGGCTGGTTTCATTAAATTCCCGTACTCATCCCAGAAGTATCTTTAGTAGTCCTTCTTGAAAGAGAAGATGGAACGAAATAGCTCCCTGCTCTGACCTTAGTCCTGAATTAAGAATTCTGCTGCTCCCGGAGGCAAAACCTCAACTGTACACAAATAAAAATGGGAGATTTCAGTAGGCTTTTTGTTGGTTGGGAAACCAGACGTTCTCCAGATGTTGCTGAGCTGTATAATTTGTTTGCACTCCACATTGGCCATGCCTGTTTTCAAGCTTCTGGTTATAGACAGAAGGCCCAAAAAGGAGTGGGGAGGAGGGTACAAGGAAGAGATTAGGAAAAGGGGCTTGAAGATGAGAAGGCATGGACTCATGAAACAGCTGGCCTGCTCTCCTCTGCAGGTTACTTGAAGGATAATCCAAACTTACCAATAAAGGAGAATATAGTGTTACCTCGGTACTCATCGTTACTTGGTTCCAGGAGGCACGATGAGTATCAAAAACGATGAGTACCAACAGTGGTGGGATTCAGATATGTGAACAACCAGTTCTCTGTGTGGATGCCGCTTCCGGAAGTCCATTCTGGGCCTGGGCAACAAAAATTCGGCTTCCGGTTCTGCCGAAGTGGTACAAACTGGCTGAATCCCACCACTGAGTACCAAACAGATTTTTCCCATAAGGAATAATATAGTGAGTCACAGGGCAGTTGACACCAACATGTTTTAGCTTGTGCGTTGTGTGCCAAACAAACGATGAGTCCTGGGACAAATTTTTCAATTCAAAATGAGTTGAGTATCAAATTCAATGAGTTTCAAAGCAGTTGAGTACCAAGGTACCCCTGTATTTGTAGCTTGGGGTTCAAATGAAGGGACCTTGGTGCTCTCTGAGCACTGATGATGTTACTTACTTTGGGTAGTGAAACGTCTGCGAGAAAAAAAGCCAAGCTCAGAGAACACCAAGGACCCCTAATCCAACCTTAATTAAACCTGTTTTAATGATTCTAGTTCTCTTGGCAACGATGCCATTGGGCACAAATTGAGCACAAGGCAGAGCTGTTCCTAAAAAAAACCCAGGAAATATACAGTCTCACTGATTCTATTATTGGGGTTTGTGTGTGTGTGTGTGTGTGTGTGTTGTCACATACTTGGAGTAAATAGATTACTTCAAGGTAGGAAAAAGGACTTTTAACATTATGTCTTACATGTTCTTGTTCACTTTAACCTGCTGTGTGATGTTTAACTAGCTGGAATTGAGCCCTCATTCTCGGCACATTGCATGTTAATGGGGGAAAAAAGGACCTGATTCAGTTTTTATAGAATTCAGAAATTCCTGACCGTCTCTATTCCTTTTTTAAAGGATCCCAAATAGAAGATAGGGAAGGTCTTTTTTGCTCTGGGATCCACTGACACTCAGTGTTCAAAATCGTGGCTTAGAATATTGAATTCAGGGCTGCACAGGACTTCGACGTTTCAAGGGCTGCAGTCCAAACTGAGTGGGACCTCTCTTAATAATTTCTTGTATATATTTCTTTTGCACGATTTGTTAGTAATGGCAAAATTCCATTCTCAAAAATGAGCCTCACCTTATCTTGGGGCAAAGACGGTGTCACTTCTTTTCCTTTAAAGCACTGCAGTTTTAAAGAAATTACGGTACTGTAAAAAATAGGGTCCAAAAATGTGAGCCCTTCGCCCATTTCAATCAGAATAGAGCTGGAAGGGACCTTGGAGGTCTTCTAGTCCAACCCCCTGCTCAAGCAAGAGACCCTATACCATTTCAGACAGGTGGCTGTCCAGTCTCTTAAAAACTTCCAGTGATTAGGCACCTACAACTTCTGAAGGCAACTTGTTCCGCTGGTTAATTGTTCTCACTGTTAGGAAGTTTCTACTTAATTCCAGGTTGCTTCTCTCCTTGATTAGTTTCCATCCCTTGTTTTTTTCTTCCTTCTAATGCTTTGGAAAATAAGTTGACCCTCTCTTCTTTGTGGCAGCCCTCCAAATACTGGAATACTGCTGTCATTTCACCCCCTAGTCCTTCTTTTCTTTAGACTAGCCAAACCCAAGTCCTGCAGCCGTTCTTCGTATGTTTTAGTCTTTAATCATCCTAGTTGCTGTTCTTCGCCCTTTTTCCCAAATCATTTGGGATTTTATAATGGCGTAAAGTTAACATTGTGGGTTTCTTGGTGCTCTCTGAGCTTGCTTGTTTTCTTGCATAAGTTTCCTTACCCAACTAGGTAGCATCATCAGTGCCACTAATACATATATTTATATACAAATACAAATATTCTCTTCTAAAGTTATCATGGTTAAAACTTTAGTGTTGGGTCCATTCAGTATGTAACCTTCCTGCTCTTCATTTCTGCTGTCCGTTGTTGCCTCAGTCTACCAGCCCAAGCCACTCGGTCACAGCCAACGTGCAGCATGTGCTCCACCTCATGAAGCAGCATTCAAAAGCCCTCTGCAACAACCGCGTGATCAGCGAAGCCCCGATGAGCAAGCAGATGAACAGGGGCAGGAGATCATCTACGTCTTCCCTTTCTTCCACGTCCCAAGGAGACCTTTCTGAGGTGCTTCTGACATTACAAGATGAGCTCGGGCAAATGAGTTTGTGAGTCAAAACTCTTGTGCAAATGTTCACCTTGTGATCTTTTTCTGACCATACCTGTATTTATTAGACGGTGGTCCAGCAAGCACGTAAACCACTTCAAAAGCTCTTTGCAATTATATATATATATATTGGGGGAGGGAGGGGCGGGTTGGGTTTGGAAAGACGTCTGGCCGTGCTTTTCATCCAAAAGGCATGGATGGGATACTGATAATATGGGTAGTCCTCAATTTACGACCCTACTATAATCTGCCTTGTGGAAACTTACTTGACGAGGTTTCATAGAAGGAATGGATGGATTCCAAGTAGTTCAGCAGCACTTGAAACCCGATGGACCCTGTCAAGCAATGTGCAAGTTTTATAGAGATATGTGAAGTTTACCCATGTGATCAAATTTATCAAATCATTTAGGCCAGGGGTCCCCAAACCTTTTGGCACCAGAGACTGGCTACATGGAAGATCATTTTTCCATGGACCGAGGGGGGAAGAGGTGCACGCAACCTAGGTCCCTTGCATGCACGGTTCACACTCTTATGAGTATCTAATGCCTGATGATTCGAGGTGGAGCTGAGGTGGTGAGCAGCTGCAAATATAGATGAAGCTTCACTTGCTCACTAGTCGCTCACCTCCACCTATGCAGCTTAGTCCTTACAGTACATGGACCGTTATGGCCCATGGCCCGGGGGTTGGGGACCCCTTATTTAGACAACTTCTGTGCCTCCCTTCTGTTACCCGGTAAAACCTCAACTATTATGCACCTTGTAGCCAAATTCTGTGCCGTAGATATAAGGCCCGATGTGAGATAATGCGGGCTCTTCGTAACATTTTTTTTTTAAATCAGTGAATCTGGTTGCAAAGTCAAATCAAATTGACTTTGATCTTGACGCTGTAGTGCTGCTTACAACTGTTTTTGTTTTTGATGTGATTTATTTTAATGTTGCTGGTCTTTGACTATGATCATTCGTTCAATAAAGAAGTGGGGTTTTTTCTCTAGGAGTTTGGTTTTTTTTTTAAATTTCCTGTCTACCATACGGTTCTAGTGTTTCCTGGAGATTGTCCAAGTACTAACCTGACCCTGTAAACCAGTGTTTCTCAACCTTGACAATTTTAAGGCATGTGGACTTCAACTCCCAGAATTCCACAGCCAGCATTGCTGGCTGTGGAATTCTGGGAGTTGAAGTCCACATGCCTTAAAATTGTCCAGGTTGAGAAACACTGCTGTAAACTTTTGAGTTCAGCCAAGGTGGGCCAGGTATTATCACTGAATTTAAAGGGACTTCCTTCCAGGTATAAATATTTGGTAGTTACATATGTTAAATCTCTACTTTGAACAATGTTACAAGCTTTATCTGATTTAATTCCAAGTAGGCAATGATTTAAAATAACTTTTTTTGGCTGGGCTTTGTCCTTGCATTCTGTCTGGCAGCTTGCAAGCGATGTGGTTGATGTCATAAAATTACCGGAATCGGCATAGTATCTCAGGGATTGTTTGGTTTCCTTGCTTTAAGATCAGAGTAGGCACCTTAGTAGTTCTGGAGTGAGAAACCGACACCACATTTCCCTTTATGCTAGCCTCCGTGGACTCTTTTTGGAGGTTTCAGTGTTGGGAAATACTACAAGGTGATTTGGAACTAGGTGGAAAAAGAAGCAGTAAATCCTATTCCTTATTTGCTAATCTCTTACAAAATGTTGGACTCTTCTGACATGGGAGTGCTCCAAAACAATAGTAGGGATTGCTATGTGGGGGAAAAATGTATTGTTTCTATTAGCAAAGTGGGACTGCAATAATATGTATTAAAGAAATCCATCATCAGCTATTTTTTTAAACCTTGTTTTATTTGCCTCTTTGTTTTGCATACAAGCCAACACCAGCATTTGGCAAAACTCATCCATGAAGCTTCAACGATTGCCTTAAGGAGAGACTTGGAGAAGGATTTGGAAGTGCTTGTGAAAAGGATGGAAGCCAAGGCTGAACAAATCAGTAAAATCCAGAGGCATCGGGCACGGGTGAGTTATCCTGATGACTACTTTCAGTCCCCTGTGAAATCACTGGAGAGTCAGTTTGGTGTAGGGATTATGCTAGAAACTGAAAGACTGTGAGTTCTAGTCCTGCCTTAGGCACGAAGCCAGCTGGGTGAGCTTGGGCCAATCACCAGGTGACTGTGAGTTCTAGTCCTGCCTTAGGCATGAAGCCGGCTGGGTGAGCTTGGGCCAATCACCAGGTGACTGTGAGTTCTAGTCCTGCCTTAGGCATGAAGCCAGCTGGGTGAGCTTGGGCCAATCACCAGGTGACTGTGAGTTCTAGTCCTGCCTTAGGCATGAAGCCGGCTGGGTGAGCTTGGGCCAATCACCAGGTGACTGTGAGTTCTAGTCCTGCCTTAGGCATGAAGCCAGCTGGGTGACCTGAGGCCTGTCCTGTCTCACTCTCTCAGCCTTAGGAAGATGGAGGAAATGGCAAACGACTTCCTAAATTTTGCCAAGAGAACTGCAGGGACTAATCCAGGCAGTTGCTAGAAGTTAAGACTTATTTGAAAACACCCTCCCCACCCACCCACAGATGACAACAACTATAACAATGAAATCATTGCCCAGAATATCTTTATTATAAATATTAAGCAGAGAAGCATACAGTTTCATAACATACAGTAAATTACAGAGCCCAGTTGTGTAACAATTTCTAATTAAGTTAGGAAAAAAACTAAGTAAGATGAAATAGAAATTAAAAAATAAAATAAAATGAAAGTGCTAAAAAAATAAATATTTAAGGCTAATCATTGCATTATAAAACTGCCTTGTAAACGCGTAAACGAAAACATAGTTATAAAATAGAGTAGTATAAAATGATATAAAAATTTAGACAGAGTTGCCAAATGACATTGTTAATTATTCCATCTGGTCAAGTTGAATAATAATTGCCCGGTTTCACTATCTAATTCATGTTGTTAAAAGCCCTGAAGCAGAATTTGTAGCTTTAAAAGGGGTATCATCATTACAGCCTGTCTCAAGAAATGAGATGTAAGTAAGGTTAAAGATAACATGTTGAAATAGACTACGACCTATATCTTAGACTATTTTGCAGCAATAAGATGATCTAGGTCAGCGTTTCTCAACCATGGCAACTTTAAGACGTGGACTTCAACTCCCAGAATTCCCTAGTCAGCCTATCTGGGGAATTCTGGGAGTTGAAGTCCACATGCCTTAAAATTACTGAGGTTGAGAAATGTTGACCTAGATCATCTTACTGCTGCAAAATGGTTCAGATATTTGGCTTTACCTCTTCTGAAAACAAGGGAAGCTCCTACTAATTATGTCTCTGCAAATCAGTGGCCATTATTTGCTGCTCATCACCTTCTTTAGCTTTGGTAAAACCCAAAGAATGGAAGGCTCTGCAACCTTCTGGAATCCCGAATCTGGGTATGCGCCGATTGCAGAAGACAGGCTTAGGATACAGGAGGACCTGGACAGACTTGAACACTGGGCGCTATCTAACAAAATGAAATTCAATGGTGAAAAAAGTGAGGTTCTACATTTAGGCAAGAAAAACCAAATGTACAGGTATAGTATAGGTGGTACCTTGCTCAATAGTAGTAACTGTGAGAGGGATCTCGGAGTCCTAGTGGACAATCACCTAAATAGGAGCCAGCCGTGTGCTGCAGCTGCCAAAAAGGCCAACACAGTGCTAGGCTGCATTAACAGAGGGATAGAATCAAGATCATGTGAAGTGTTAATACCACTTTACAATGCCTTGGTAAGGCCACACTTGGAATACTGCATCCAGTTTTGGTCACCACGATGTAAAAAAGATGTTGAGACTCTAGAAAGAGTACAGAGAAGAGCAACAAAG